GGAGAAACTCCAGGTATTCATACTTTTTGGTATGAAGTTATTCATTGGAGTTTTGTTGATTTGCCTGCCCTGTCCCTGCAGGGGATTGAACCCAGAGTCACAAATGCTAAGCAGGTACTCTACTACACACAGCAGAAGTTTTTCTTATAATTAAAAACAAAACAAAACCCTTGTGTTTCTGCAATTATTTCTCTACCACTTTTAGAGGAAAAAAAAAAGATATAGAAAGTTTCTATAATCTTTGGAGCAAACAAAAATTTCTTAAGCAGTACCCTAAATTGCTCAATGTAGTAATTCATAAATTGAACTTACATTAAAATGAAGAACTTCTACTCATAAAACACCTTATTAAGGGAGTAAAAGATAGTATTGTATTGTGTGCACATATCAATATGTAATAATGAATCTCATCATTATGTACAACTGTCATGTACCAGTAAAAACTGGAAAAGAAAAAATAAGATTAAGAGGCAGTTTATAAAGTTAAAGAAGATATTCAGCATACATTATCTGACAAAGGATTTATATGCAGAATTTCTACAAATCAATAAAAATGAAAGAAAAATAAAAAATAGCAAACAACATGAACTGATAACTTCACAAAAGAAGATATACAACATGGCCAATAAATGTACGAAAAGGTGCTCATCTTCATTAGGCATCAGAGAAATGTCAATTAAACCATGATGACATACCATTGCATACTCACCAGAATGGATAGAAGTAAAAAGGTGGAAAATGCCAAGGGTTGGTAAGGATGTGACCACACTTTCATACATTGATGGAAATATAAATTGGCACAACCATTTTGGAAACTTTTTGTGGTGTCTCTTAAGACTAAATGTATGCATATCCTTTGACTCAGCAATTCTACTCCTGGCAATTCTATTCCCACTACAAATGTCACTAAAACACATGTTCCAGATGTCTGAGCAGTACTATTCATAAAGGCCCCAAATTGAAAATCACTCAAATGCATATCAACAGTGGAATGATAAATTATGATAATGGTCTACAACAATATGTAAAAATATGCATAAATCTTACATTGTAATATCAACTAAAGTGACAGCTCATACTATGTGATTCTACATCTATAGAATAATCAAGAGAAACGAATGGAAGTCAGGACAGCAATACTCTTGTTGAATGAATAGGGACTGAAAAGTAAGAAGTTTCTGGAAGGATGGTACTATTCTGTTTCTTGGTCTGACTGTTGATTTCACATGTTTATTCAGTAGAGCTGGGACAAGGCGCGGAAAGCAATATACTCAGAGAGCACAATTTAAGCTCACTCTTGGCACCTGAAAGCAACCTTAAAATGTGCCTCCTTAGACCAGTAGAGCAGAGAAAAGAGACCAGGGAGAGGGAGAAGGGGAGGGAATGGGAGTTATTAGGGAATGGAAATGACCAAATTTTGTTATTTGCATGTATGAATATGTAACAACAAATCCCACTGTTATGTACAATTATAATGTGCCAATAAAAATTTTTAGAAATTAGAAAAAAAGGTTCCCCTAAGCATCTTATTTGTCTTACCCTTCTACCAGTCTTAGTATTCAGTTTGTGAATATTTATTGAAATATATTATTATGACATATATATTTTATTATACAGATTATGTTTAAATTTAACAAATGTTAACGGGGTCTAGTCTACCTCAGAAAACAAACTTTTAATGATCTAAATGTGATATGGGCATAGTGGACAATACCTATCATCTCAGCTACTCAGAAGTCTGAGGCAGGAGGATAGTAAGTTTGAGGCCAGTCTGAGAACCTAGTTAGGAAAACAAAACAAAAAAAGGGCTGAGGATGCATCTCATTGGTAGAGTGTGCCTGGGTTCTATCTCCAGAACTACAAAACAAGTAAACAAACACTTAAATGTGGGTATGGGATGTGGCTTAGTGTTAGGGTGGTTGCCTAGTATGTGCAAGGCTTTGGATTCAATTGCCAGTACTGGGGGGAAAATAAAAGGAAGAAAGGAACAAAAATTAAAAACCTAAATGTGAAAAGAAAAATTTTAAAACTTTTAGGATAAAATACAGGAGATTGTTATTAATGCCTTCAGGTAGAAAAGGATTTCTTGAGATACCCATAAGCACATATTAAAGAAAAAGAATAAACTACATTAAAATTAAAAATATTTCTTTATCAAAGACCTCTTAAAGATAAGTTAAAAGACAAGCACAAACCTGGAAAAAAATATTAAAACACAAGTAAGTAAAAAAAAATTCAGAACACCTTTTGAAAGTCAATGAGGAAAAAATAAATAATCAATAGAAAAATGTATGAACCAGGCATAGTGGTGCATGCCTGTAATCCCAGCAACTCAGTAGGATCACAAGTTCAAAGTCAGCTTTAGAAATTTGGCAAGGACCTACACAACTTAGTGAGACTCTGCCTCAAAATAAAAAAAATTAAAAAAAAGGACTGGGGGTGTACCTTGGGTTCAACTCCTGGTACAAAAAAAAAATGTATGAAAGACTTGAACAGCTACTTTCTATAGAAGACTGACCAATGAGAAGATTCTCAAACTCACTGATAACCTGGGAAATTAAAATTACAATAATGAGGTTGTACTCCTACCTCAGATCTAGCAAATTGGCAGAAGACATAAACTCTGACAATATCAAGTGTTGGCAAGAATGTATGGATTTTCCTTCACTGTTGGTAGAATATAAATTGGTACAATCATTTTGGAAAATAGTTTTGTGTTACCTAATGAAGTTGAAAATGTGCAAGACTAGAACTCTCTGATATAATCCCTAGAGATATTCTTTCACATGTGTACCAGGAGATATGTACATGAATGTTTCTAACAATTAAAAAGAAATAACTTCAACAAGAGTAGGATATTAGCTGGGCATGGTGGCACACACGTGTAGTCCCAACACTTAGGAAGCTGAGGCAAGAGGATCACCTAAGCCCAGGAGTTCGAGACCAGCCTGGGCAACAGAATAAGACCCCATCTCAAAAATGAAACAAAACAAATGAGTAGAATACATTACAACAGTATAAATGAAAGAACAACCACACATAATGATGAATCTCAGTTTTGATGGTCAAGGTAAGGACTAAAATCATAGAAAAATACTTGAAGTATTATTATTTTTATATAGAAATTTTAAAAGGGCCAAAATATTGGTAGATGATAAAACTAAAAAGACCAAAGGAAGGATTATAAAATAACTCAGGATGTATTTATCTTTAGAGATACATGAAGTGCATTAATAAAGGGATACCTGGTGGCTTCTAGTGGTAAATTTCTACTTCTTGGCCTGTGTGGGTATACGGATGTTTTCATTATTCTTTAAATGGTACATATAACTTTTGTGTACTCTCTTTGATGAATTATATGTTTCAAAATACAGTAATTTTTAAAAGCAATAAGGTTAAAGTTCTACATATGTACACATGCGTATAAACGTTTGTATTTTCCATGAAGTAAAACAATAGGAATCTTTAGTAGAAAAATGTCTGTAGCACTTCAGTATATTTGCATTCTCTCATATGATTGGCTGATTGAGAGAGAAACTAATATCAAATATAAGTTTACCATGAAAGCCAGATCTTTGTACATATAGTTTCTGTTAAATATATACTTGGAAAATGTCATCACCTGCCTCATTTAATCTATTAATTAAAATATACTTTTCTAGGCTGTCTTATTTAAATCTTATTTGGCAAACAAGAAATTCTTAATTTTTTTAAGGATAAAAATCCAGTTGAAATCTATTCATTCTTTTCTTAACCTTTATTTATTTTTCTTAGCCTTTCTATGTTAGCTATATCTTCCTTGAGTAGAATCAGAGAAGAAAACTGTACCAAAAATCTAAAGCCTTTTTCATGACTGACATTGTAAAGATACTAAAAATGAAAATAAAACAAAACAACCTTGTTGTTCGTTTGGTTGTATTATTTATATTAATTCAAGTAAGACTGGGCTTGTTTTCCATGCAGTAAACATATATATCACTGAATTAAAGATCTGGAAAGAACCTTCAGAAATTACCTAATAGTCATCTTCTGTAAGTAGGACTCAGATTATCTCAGGCAAATAAGTTATTATCCTAATCTTAAAATGTCTCCTGAGAAGATTTTAAAAATGTGTTTGTCTCAGAACCCTTTTAATACAATGTCAGCCTACAGTTAGCAGCCAGTAAACAGTAAGTCAACAGTATAGATTTACCTAGGGCACAGTGGGGCCCTAGCAGTACCCAACTCTAAAGTCTCTATGCAAAAGGCAAGGTAAGGGGCTCAGAGCCCTGCCTGTTCAGCTCCTTTGGCTGCAAACCCATCAGCTCCCCTGGCTTTCCCCAGTGATCTAGACCCAAAGCTTGTCTCTCCACATAAACGAGTGCTGACATTTTGTTTTCACTCTGATTTGGGTTAATCCACAAACTTTCTTTCTTGGCTTCTTCCCACTTGATTATTCCAGAAAATCAAGAGCTGATTTGTACTTGTATTTGATATGAAATAGACACCTAAAATATTTGTAAGTCCTAAAAATATGTCACTTATAAAAATTAGAAATATATTGGGAAATATTTTTCTCCTAATCATGGGCAATAGGCAATTTCATCTAAAAACATATTTCTTTCTTGAGGCCCGTACTATTTTTTTTTTGGTACCAGAGATTAAACCCAGGGGTGCTTAACCACTTAGCCACATCCCCAGCACTTTTTTGTATTTTATTTAGAGATAGGGTCTGTCTCATTGAATTGCTTAGGACCTTGCTAAGATGCTGTGGCTGGCTTTGAACTTATGATTCTCCTGCCTCAGCCTCCATAGCTGCTGGGATTACAGGTGTGAGTCACTTCACCTGTCCTGGCTAGGACTGTACTTTTTTAGACTAAAAAATCCTTGATGTCAAAACTAGTTTTGTTTCAGTTTTTATACCTGGCATGCTCCACTGGACTGTTGTTACTGTATGCAAAGTGAAAAATGTCAGTTGTATTTAACTGAAGAAATGGAGGCTCACTAAAACTTGGCCTTACTTGATTGTTGTACTCCTCTTCTTCATCATCGCAGTCTAGACCCTGATGGGCAATTTCAGTAGTATTATTCTCCTGAAACAGATTGTTCTCCAAATCAGATACTCTGGCTGCCTCCGTAGTGACTTTTACTTTCATGCTATGAAAGCCTGTGGAGACCAATCCCACTTGCAAATTGACAGGTTCCCCATCAAACAGCAAGAAGTGTGAGTTCACCCCTTCTTTAAAACCAGGTGGTTGGTAATCATGTGGAGTCACTGCAAAATGAAAAGGGCAAAAAGCCATGAAACTTAGTTTCAATAGAAGCCAGATTAATATTTTAAGTACAGCAACAGGTATCTTTCAGATGTTTGTAAAATCCTTCTATTTACATAAAATATTAGTTTAGTACTTAAGAAGAATTTGAATAAAGGTCTCCACCTACCTGAATTGTAGTAATGGAGTTTCATAGTAAGTATAACATCATTAGGAAGGGGTCCAAGGTTCTGCATCAGTATATATAATTTACGAATCAGCAGTACACTGGCTTTCTTAATATCTTTACTATTTGTTCCACTTTCAAAGCTTGTACTACTGCTATAATCACATAGAAAAAAAGGTATACTTTTCAATCATATGCAATACTGACAATATATTCCCAAAAGAACACAACTTTTGAGTATATGATCAAATAAATATAAACATCTAGACATTTTAGAGAAAATTTTTAGATTATAAATTAAAGGAATAATTATACTCTTTCAATGCATATACAAAGGACTTCTAAATAATATGTTCACCTAAAGCATTTAAAATATGACCTTATTTTTAAAAATTTGCTTATTACAAATAACCACATGTCATAATAATGAGAACACTGGATTTGGAATTAGGTATCCTGGCATCTAATATTATCTCTGCTGTTAACTAGCTGAATGTCTTCAGTCAAATCATTTAGATACACTTTATTGTTTATGTCATTTGTAAGATAAGCTTACAGACATTTCTATAACTCCCTAACCATAAAATCAGTTACTAGCTCTGTATCCACCATCTGGTTATCTCTCAAAGGTATCCCATCCTCACACTTTCAGGGATTACCCCAATGGGAATCTTAACTATTCTTCCTCCTTTCTTTCATTTCCACATTGCAAACCATTTTCCATACCACTGACAACATAATAATACTAAATAGGAAAATATGCTCATATCACCTTCATGCTTAAAATTCTTCCATTAAATTAATAGCCTTTCAATCAAATAAAGGATGGTGTAAAATGCATTTAATGTCCATTCATACTCTTCTCTATTCTCACCAGCAGCTACTGTCCAATTTCCCCTCAACCATGTGCATTTGCTGTTCATTCCACCTGTATTGTGCTTTTCCATTTCTCTTCTAAAACCTAATGCAATGTGTCATCTTTTCAAAGAAGTCTTCCCTTATAATCCCCACAGCTTTCCCCTTAGGAGAACTGTTTGTCCCTCACTAAGCAGCGAGTGACTGTATATTTCATCAGTATCTTTCATTCAATGAATATGAATGAACAAGTTGGACTAAATTACCTTCCAATTCTAAACTTTTTTTCTCTCTGAAATTTTCTTCTCCAATTAGTCTCATATTTGAGTAGTTTTGGGGAAGAACTATGATTGTTGGTATAATTGCACAGTGTTGAAAAATAATCCTAAGTAATTGAACTATTGAGTTTTCCCCTAACTGATCTTTAGAGGCAGTGTAAATTCATAAAGCAAACCTTTATTAAGCTTTTCCATCAATTTCAAACAACTTAGCTTTGTCTGCCAGAATTTAACCAATTTAAACAAGGTAACCTGAGTGAAGGGCTATAGCCAGGTGACCCAGGGGATCCTCCAGGATTCATCAGTAAAATCATTCAAAACTCTGATGTAAACAAATACTATTTTTTGGCTTCTAGGAAATTCTAATATGTATTATTTTCTTGACTCCCTAATATCTGGAAGATTTGGCCATTTTTATTTTACTGCTTACCTCTTGGCATATGTGTCTTTAAAACCAAAGAGATTAATCTGGTTGCCAGGGATATTTATATTTGAGTTTTAGAGAGTAAAAACAACAGCTTTATGTGAGAAAATATGTGTAAATGTGAATATAATCTGTAAAGTGCTATACAAACGTTAGCTAGTGATGATTAAAATTTTAACTCTCATTTTTGGAACTTTGTTCTCACATTTGAGTATTGCCTATAAGTTTTATAAATGAGAGAATAATTAAGGAGGTGAGTATTAGAGAGAAATCGTCAAGCTCCAGAGAGCTAATAATAGAGAAAAGGGGGAATTCTGCCACATTTCTCTTAAATTCATTCCTTTCGGAGATATCCATCTCCCTTACTTGGAGCACTCTACTACCTAGGGCTTTTCACTATCATTTGCATCTTCCATTTCTATTGTATCAGTAAATCCTTAGCTCTCTCTACCTCCTGGCTGATCTGAAGCCAAAAAACTACTGAAAGAAGAATAAATATTGCTCCTCAACAAAACATCTTCATCTGCAATGGGCCCTTCTGAACTACTATTTAATCCACTAGTGTGCTATTTAATCCACTAAATGTGTTTAAAACTTGGAGTTTTAGATTTGATAGGACAATAAGGTGTTTTCCAATCTTTTCCATACAGAGAAGCACATAGAAAATGCTATTTGTACATCACTGTGAGGTAGGCAGATGACAAAAGTTATGCATATAGGCAAATAGTCCAGGGTTTTTTATCTAACCCTGGCCCCAACTGACTATATAGAATGTGTAAAAGATCAGTATCTCAATATAGCAGTTGAGAAACATTGGGTTAGTAACTAGACAGGGCCTTATGGAGTTCTTCAATCAACATTGTGCAGACAGCCTTGTTAATATAATGGCGATGCTTATCATCTCCTCTACTCTCATCAATTAAATCCATGGATTTCAGAAATTTAATTATTACAGTTCATTTTTATAATAGTGAAATTTTATAGGATTTATGGAAAAATGATAAACGAAGTATAAAACTTTTTTCTGGCTTATAAAAACTTATGTTTATCTCACTTCTATATATTTTCTCAGGTTCATTAAATAATTAGATTTTACCTGTCAAAATCCATAGTGGCTCCTTCTTTTGTGTATTTGAATTTGAACTGGTATATCTCAGTCACTTTCTAGAAAACCAAAGGTAATAAAGAAATTAATTTTAAAAAGAAATCCAGATTTTATCTGATAATAAGGCACATTTTCATTGTATACCTACCATGCTTCCTATATACCTGTTTATTTCACAGTATTATATTATTTAGGAGTAATATTTCCAGATATAAAGATATTTTTTCTCCAAAAGTGAGTTAGATGATAAATGCTTCCATTATAATTGAAGTTGGAAAAACTAAGGCACAGTCAAGTATCTGACCCACTAGGTTATGAGGGAGGAATCAGCTGAGAAACTATTCATTCACATAATACCTATTTTAGTGAATGTCTGTTTTGTATCAAGCATTGGAGTCACAGTAATGAACAAAACTTTTGCTCCCTGTTTTTCTTGAATTTACAGTCTGATCAGGAGATAATCAATAAATTATTTCACCTAGTACGATTGCTGTGAACAATATGAAGCAGATGCTGTGATGGAGGATGAAGGGGGAAAAGTACTGATTTGGCTTGAAAGGGCCAAGGAAAGCATCCCCGAAGAGGTGATATTTGAGTTGAACCTCAAGAGAGGTGAGCCATGTGCAGTCTTTGGGTGTGATGATTCAGGCAGAGCAAACAGCAATACAAAGCCTCTAGAAGGGATATCCCCCTCTTCCAAGATCTGAGAGGAGGCTAAAGATGAGAGAGCAAGGGGGAGAATGTAGGAGATGAAGTTGTAGAGAGGGTTGTTATGTTTTATTGGCCATGGTAAGGGGGGGTTGGATTTTATTCCATATAAACCAGAAGGGTTTTAAGTCGGGGAGTGATTTGCATTTTTAAAGCTCACCCTGCCAATCTTAAGAAAGGTATGGAAACTGACATGTTAAGAGGCTACTGCAGAAATTCAGGGAAGACTAGACGAACAAAAAGAAGGGATCTATCAAGTATTATTATTTTTTCAATTCTACACTAAAAAGTGGATATTACTGCTATCTGCTCTTCTGTTAAGAAAGCTAGAAATAACAAGGGACAGATTTCAGAACACACAAAAGTGCACCTCATTCATCTGGTTGAATATATAATCCTTGATAATGTGGGAATGAAGATGTTAGATTGATCAGAAAAAGTCCCAGTGCTTCTATTACTTTTCTCTACTCTGAAGTTTAGTCTTCTAGTTCTGCAGATCTTACACCTTAATATACACCTTAATCACAGGTGACCATGTACTGGGAAAACTGGCTCATGTTGGTTAAACTCTAAAGTGAGAGATTTATCATGGAGTTAATTTTAAGATACAAGTATTTCTCTAACTAGACAACCTACTTGAGAAATGAAAGTTCAGAAGGTTGCTTATGGCTACAGTAGGAGAGATGGGTGAGATTAGAAGCATCTACAGCTGCCTAACAGCAACAGGTTCACTCTGGACAGGCTAGATACACACACAGTGTCTTCTCTTAATCAATGCTGGATATAATTGCCCTGTCAAACAATGCCTACTTCCTGCCTGCCTATGTTTCTGAGTCAACTATAGCTATTTAATGTTGTAAGTTTTTATTTTTTAAATGAAAGAAATCTTTCAGTAGCTGATAATTTTACTTGCATTTTATTATTTGATCACTGAAGCAATAGGCTTTACATTTATAATTGTTTTATAGAAGATGCTATTTCTTATTAACTTGAAACTAATTTATCAAAGAAGGTATATTATAACTCACAAAATGTTCTCCCACTTTTCAGGATGTGTTGCCTGACAAAGGTGATATTTTAAATTGAACATCAATTGTTTCTATCAACCATGCTGATCACATTCATATAGACCAAAGCAACAGCAACACACGCAGCCTCTTCTCCCTCCACTTTCCAATGCATTGGTAAGACTTTTCAGGACTATCTTCAAAGCGAATTGGAAGACCATCTAATATTCATTCTCTATTCTATAGCCAAAAAATTTTTGGCAATACAAACCAGACCATGCAATACCTTTGCTTAAACCCCTCTACCCAATGGCATCCCGGCGCCCTGACAACTTTTAATTTATGAATTATTTTGGTCTATAAGACCTTACTCATCTGTCCCCTACCTACTTCTCCTGCACTTTCCCTCCCATTCACTAAGTGATAGGATCATGGCACCTTTTCTTTCATAGACATCCAAGATTCCTTCCCATCTTAGGGCCTTTGTATAGTTATACTCTGGAACATGCTATCTCCGGTTAATGATAATATTTGGCCACTGCCCAAAATGCTGTAGCCATGAAGTAGATTTCAGTAGCCCTCCCTACTCTGAAGTATATATTATTATTCTCATTATTGAAGAAGCTGGTTAAGTGGTAGAGCTGAGATTTGACTCTAGTACCTGTAATGTTAATTAGCATATTATTCTACCTGTTACATGTCATTGCCTCTCATAGACCTGCAAAGGCTGACTCCTTCTGGTCATTCAGGCTCAGCTAAAATAGTGGTCCAGTAGGAAGGCTTTCTATGAACTGCCAATCTAACACAGCCATTCATTTCTTCCTTTTCCATCTCTACATCAGCATTGTTTAGTAAACTACATTTAAAATTTTTTTCATACACAGTAATATGACTATCTGAAAGTTTTTGCTAAATTTTGTTTACTTATTTATTATTTATCCCTCCACATAAGAATATAAAGCTTCAAGAGGGCAGGGACCTTATTTATTCCATTTACTTTCATGTTTTTGTAGCTTGAATAATGATAAGCACATAAAATGAGCCCAATGCATATATAATATGTATATATTCTCTCTCTCTCTCTCTCTCTCTCTCACACACACACACACACACACACACAAACACACACATTTGGCACTTAATCACTGAGTCACATCCCCAGCCCTTTTTACATTTTATTTTGAGACAGGGTCTTGCTAAGTTGCTGAGGCTGGCTTTGAACTTGTGATCCTTCTGCCTTAACCTCCCAAGCTGCTAGGATCACAGCCATGTGCCACCATGTCCAGCCCCAATTTATATTTGCTGAGTGAATAAATATTTAGCCCAGAGTTCATGCTCAGTTAGGGTTTCATCTTATAAACATTTTTAAAAACCAAAATTTCTGAAAGCATAATGTGGTTAGAAACAGGGACCACCTATAGTTCAGTTCCTGAAGGAGACTATTATAATTGGGCATTGACTACCTCTAATAAGCACAAAGGAATAGATGGTAATATCATAAGATCTGTATTTTTACAATATTCAAGTATACTAATTCTTTATGTCACAAATTAAACCTTTATTTAACATATTTACATACAGCTTACATATCTTATTAATACCCACCATACTTTTTGTAGTATGCGTCTATGAAAAGCTATCATTCTTTACTACTTCAGCTGCCTTTGTCAATTTCTCTTTCAAAAGATGGAGCAAGCAGAACAAAACTTCATGTGCAAAAATGCCAGTACCCCAAACTTTGTTGGCCTTTGAACTAGGGAAGCACAATTTATCTTAAAAAAAAAAGTCTTTCACTGTTGTATCATAACATACTTGTCACAAGAGTCCTGCAAATTTAAATTGATGTGTAAAGTATATTTTTGCTGCTTTAGGTAAATATTAACATTGTTACTGTTTATGAAATTTTGTCTAGGGAAGGATATATTTCTAGGGATATGACTCAAATGTTTGGCACAATATCAGATAAATGCCAAAGACTGTTTATGTGAGAATGTTGTTTTGTGAGTACATTAAAGAATATGATCACGGAACTAAACAGTAGTATCAGTGACATGATGCTAAACAGCAAATAAAACAGTGTAATCTTGTGGATGGATGCTTTTAGGCACTATGAATGTTGCTATGCTATAGTAGTAGTTATACTATAATTATTGCTGACTCTGTTATTCTTTTGAGTTTTTTTTAATATCCTCAAGCAACCATCAAATCTTTTAGTAATCAGAAGGGCGCCATGAACACCTAGTAGTTAGGGATCATCACTATAGGGAATAATTTACAAATATTCAAGATATTTTCTTGGGTCATAAGTGATAGCTTAGAACTTACCATATAATAAGTTTTTGTTTTTTATCCTCATTGTTGTATGTGCTAGCATTGAAACTCATTTCAGTTTTTTTTTTCCCCATTCTGTAAGATTTTCCTGTATTTAAGGCTAAGTTAGTCAGCATTTCACTACCCACCAAATTACTGATTTATAACTAGGAGTTTTACATTCATAAGAAAACATGATAAATGCTGTACCAAGAAAATAACCAATTAACAATTTATCAGAAGTTGTAGTTTAGGAAACTTCTGTTTAAACCTAAGAAAAAAGGAAGACAAGAGACAAAGACAGCTAGGGCTGCAGCTCAGTGGCAGAGAACTTTCTTAGCATGTGTGACACTGGGTTTGATATTTAGCACCACATAAAAAATAAATAAAATAAAGGCATTCTGTCCATCTATAACTTCAAAAAAAATTTAAAACAAAAAAGAGACAAAGATAAAGAAAGGTAAAACTAGTTTGGACATTGAGAAATTGTGATCCATCTGTATTCAAAGTTTGCTTCCCCTTTGCTTACATGGTTATTCATAATTTTGCAAAGAGAGAATTTTAAGAGTTAAAAACAATTTTGTCTTGAATATGAGCAGTTAGACCAAATACATTGGCTAAGAGAAGAAAAACTGAAATCAAGGAAAAAGTAAAGAAAGCTAGGAAGAAGATGAAGAGAACAGAACAAGAGGAGAGAACAGAGGGCTTCTCCTTCCAACTCAGTACTACAGCCACAGAAGCCAATGTGGCAAAAGTAACTATTATGTGTCTAGGACTATAATATTCACTCTGGAAGACAGAAAACAAGACAAGAACCTTGTCCTCAAGAATTCACAGTCTGCTCGGGAAAATAATCTGCATGATTCAATTGAGAGTGTTAAATTGTGGGGTTCTTCTGGAAAATAAATTTAGAGAAGTTAGTGTAGACAATCTAGGTAAAGAGGCTTTTATGAAAGATTTGAATTTAAGTTGGCCTTGAGTATAAGCAGCAATCACTAAGGTAAAGAAAGAAATAGATAGGGAAGTAAAAAGGTAAAAATTCTGAAACTCTGTAAAGGTCAAAAGGGGAGAATTTAGTTGGCAAAAAAAAAAAAAAAAGTTTAGAATTATGCCATGTCTGGCTTATTTTACTAAAAGACCATAAGCAATTTTCAGAATCAGTTAAAAGAAATAAAATGTGTTTTTTATATATTTATATATCAAGAGAGTCTTTTAATGTTAATATGTTATGGAAGAGGCCCAGTTCTACTCAATGCCTTTAAAAAAAAATAATACCCCTAGGTAATATTTGAAAATCTCATACTAAAGAATTGGTCACATTTATAAGAAAATATGTTGAAAGAGCTCACTCTTACTGTTCAAATAGTAGTGTAGCAACATAGTCTATAGTCTCAACTCAGGTAAACATACTTAAATATAATACACATATACTATCTACCTATACATTTGTCTTCTTACCTCAGGTTCCTTTGGATTTGTGTAAAGCTGTTAAAGTAAAAATAAACAGCATTTAATTTCTGAAATTTACTAGATTACTCCTCACAGAATACATTTTCTACATAAAGAGGACAATTTGTACTCTATTGAGTATTGTATTGATACATATTTCAAGCTGGAGATAGGATAAGCTCTTGTTTTGTGAACACGGATCCATTAGAATACTTTATGAACACTGACTATTAAGGAATTTCAAGGTATTTATAACTATTGTGAATAAGCTACAATAAATTCTAAATAATTGGCATGGTTTAAATGTTTAAACAAATCATATATCTAAGACTCTTAATGGCATATTCTCATTTTTTTAAAACTACATATGCCATGTGATAATCAGGAGTATACAAAACTTCAAAAGAGTCTATAAAATTTCAAAAACAAAAAACTTTGAGCCTGTAAAGTAACTTTAAAAATATAAAAATCCTGATAGCCAACAGATGAAGCAGATAGTATATCCCATATGTTTCTCCATATCTATAATCTACAAAATATATAATTAATGTTTTAATAAAACTTCTGATGAACTATTTTTTAAATTCCAAAATGTAATAATATGGATAAAAAAAGGAAGAGGGAGAATATAAACGTCAAGGAAGTAGAGACAGAGGTTTAGTCTTTAAGTATGTACTTACTGTAAGTACTGCCATATGTAGCTTCAAGAAAAAAGAAAACTTTGTTAGAATATAATTACATCTATATCATTGTTATTTTCAACAAAAGCTAATTAAAATATTATTTCAGAGAAAGTAGAGGAAAGGAACCAAGGGGAGGTAGAAGGAGATGGAAAGGGGAAATATTGAGGAATGATATTGGCCAAGTTAATATTGTTATGTTATATGTATGTATAACATACCATTATGTACAACTATAATGCACAAATAAAAATATGGAAAAGATAGTATTTCAGACATGTTACAAATATTTAGGTAGAAAAAAATTATTCAAAAAGTCAGATAAAGGAATAGTAATTATTCATTCATTCAAGTAGTACCTATTACATACCCAAAACTGCTGGAAAGCAAAGGGATACAAAAAAAAAAAAAAAAAAAAAGTAACTATCCTATTCTCAAGAAGTTATATTTGAATTTGGGAGGCAATAAATGCATAAATGCATCAAGATATATGAAATAATTCCTTGTTTCTAAAAATTAAAAATACCCCAAGTATCTTTAAAAAAAAAGTATCTCTTTTGAAACTAATCTCCTAGAATAAAATTCTAAGGCTGATATCTATAAAACTCTTGCCTCTATATATACACTACTATTAAGAGATTCTCTCTGATTAATAGAATAGAATATATAGACATAGATAGAAATAATCAAGCTTTTTTTTTTTTTTAGCCTAGAATTCAAATGGGAAAATTTTAGGACTGTAATTTCATTGCAAATAACTAAAACTTTAGTGACACCCTGTGGTTATTTTGGTTGCTGCATATAATTGATTTTTAAGATCACTCAGTGAAATGGTATTAATCAATTAATAGTTCATTCATACATGTAAAATACATATGGCCCCAGATCTCAGGAAACCTGCAGATTAGCAGCATAGACCAATATTAAACCAAAAAAACCCAGCATAGTGGCTACATCATTGCAATTGTATTAATGGCTATAAAAAAGCAGCATGAGATGCCTTGAGAATACTAAATAGAGGGATAATCTAGGCTGGGGAAGAGGGAATATTTACTTCTCCTGGAGAAGTAAATATTTAAGCATAGATTTAAAGGATAAATTGGAGTTAGGTAGATAATGTGTATGGGGTCAAGGGGAGAATTTTCTAGACAAAAGAAACAATATGTGCAAAATTCAGAGGAGCTTGGCATGTACTAGAATCTTTGTGTTGCTTGAACATGGAAATTAGAGCAATGCTTTGGGAAGGCAGATAGGGATCATACAGGTCTTGCAGGTCATGTGAAGGACTCTTGACTTTTATTTTAAAAGCCCTGGATATTGTTTAGGTAAAAGAATGACATGATCAGATTCAGGTTTCTGAAAGAATATAATGGGGACAGGGACTTGCAATGGTGGGGAACTGAGAATGGGAGTAAAGAGATAAATATATCATCTTTTTAATAATAATTATATAAAATTTACATAATTATTTGAATAATTCAAGCATAGTATACATACAGCACAAGGAAAACAATGTAAAAATCACCCAAAATTTCATAACTGTAAATAATCATCTACTAGCACATATTCTAAGAATCTCTAGGTAATCCAACTTGACTTTACTTAAACTACTTTTAAAATCTTATTCCCTACAAGCACAAAATCACCTGAGAGAAGTTATAAAATATTAACAACTGAAAAATAATTAAATACTATTTATCTAAGAGCTTAAGTCAATTTCTAAAACAATTTACATCAGTTATACACATAATCATTTAGTATAATAAATGCATCAAACTAGTTAAGATATTCTTGTACATTACATGTTATTTTAGTACATAGAATGTTAGATTTATTTTATTTAAGAAGTAAGTCTCTAGTACACCGTGACCCCCCTGGAGAGGAGGAATCACATCTTCATCTCATTTGTATCCAGTGTCTAGGCACAATGTCTGGTACAGATTAAACAGTCAAGGATAAAGAATGAAGGCATAAATGGTCAACATCTACACTGAGCATATTATGTGCCAGGCATTGTTCTAAATATTTCAGATCGGTGTTCCTCAAAGTATGGTCCTAGAGCAGCAGTGAGAGCATCACCTCAAATTTGTCTAAAATACAAATTCTCACATCAGAAATTTGGGGGTGGGGCTTGGCAATCTGTGTTTTAACAAGCCCTCTGTCGCGACCCCTCGCCGGCAAGGGAAAACACGACACAGGATTCTTCTTTCAGCAGTTTATTCAGGCCTTGATTCATGTATCATCTTCTAGTGACCCCCCGCCGAGCGCCCAAGCACAGCCTAATAAAGCCTCCCACATACCAATCCCAAGCTGCCACGTGGATCTCTCTCATAGGGTGATAAGGGATTGCGTGCCAACTCTCCATATTAGGAGTTGTTTGTCACAGGCCACAGTGGAAGCCGGCGCCATCTTCTAATGGCGGCCACGGTCTATTAGAACGGCTCACCACAGCCCTCCAGGTGATTCAGATATGAACTAAAGTTTGAGAACCATTGTTTTCAATTATTTACTCATTGAATTCTTAGTTCTTAGATAACCCTAAGAGGTAGGTTACTAGACCAGAGTCACACAGGTATTAAGTGATAAAACTGGGATTCACCTAAGACTGTTTGATTCTGAAATTCTAGCTCTTAAATATATTGTATGGCCCCTTAATGATGAACACCCAGAACATGTTGCTAAATGAATAGATGAAGGAGAATAAAAGAATATTGTTTAGTATGCCAGTGATGACCTCCTTTTTTCAACCTGTCCAAACCCTCAGGGTCTCAAAAGCTCAAAAGTCTTTCAAAATTTCCCCTTATGTCCTTATGGAATACAATATTTCCTTTTCCATGCCTCATACTGCAGCTGATTAGTAGCTCTCCTTTGACATCTATCATTTTTTTTCTTACCAATATTGGACTGAACTCAGGAATGCTCTGCTACTGAGCTACATTCCCAGCCCTTTTAAAATTTTGGGACAGGATCTTAATAAGTTGTTCAGGCTGGCCTCCCAACTTGTGATCTTCCTATCTTGGTCTCCCAAGTAGCTGGGATTACAGGCATGTACCATCACACCCAACTTGGCATGCATCATTTTCTTTTTTAAAAATTTTTAGTTGTAGATGGACACAATATTTTTATTTATTTATTTTTATGTGGTGCTGAGGATTGAACCCAGTGCCTCACATGTTAGGCAAGCACTCTACTACCAAGCCACAACCCCAGTCCCAGCATGCATCATTTTCTGAGTCTTATAGTTACTTATACTTGTTATAGGGGTGATAGTCAAATATATATATATATATATATATATATATATATATATATATATATATATATATATATATAATATTTTTAAATAAAAATATCAAACTGATATGAAAAAATCAATATTTGAAGTCCAATATGGCACAGGTATTGACCAATCAGAAGGGATGCTGACTTAGTCTAGAGCTGGCCTTGTAGACACAACTTTTGGACTAGAGGTGTTAATCCTTAGTTGCTAGATTTGAGAAAAGTCTAGAGAGAAAAAAAAAAAAAAAAAACGGTGGAGCAACAGGAAGGAAGTTGGTGAAGGTTCACCTGGGGCCTCAGAAAAGCAGTGATTTATCATCAATTCAGAAGTACAACCAACATTTTCTCAGCAGGTAGAGCTGGGCTAGTATGTAACCATTGATCATTATCCCTGCATATAAGTAGTGCTCATCTTCTACTGTGGTCTATGAGCTTTTGCCCTCACCTGTTTTATATTTGTTTCCCTAGGTCCCCAAGGCCAGAGTTGAATAAGTCATAAATAATAATTTCAGTGAAGAGAGGAAATATATGAATGTACTAAATAATCCAATGGAAGGCTCTTCCCACCCATGAAGGCTTAATCACATAAAATTTCTTAAAGAAATCAGAATTCTGGCTGGGGATGTGGCTCAAGTGGTAGCGCGCTCGCCTGGAATGCGTGAGGCCCGGGTTCTATCCTCAGCACCACATACAAACAAATATGTTGTGTCCGCCGATAACTAAAAAATAAATATTAAAAAAAAATCAGAATTGAGGAGTAAAAAGAAGACATAGATGGGAAGAAGGAGGGAAAGCTGTGGTAGAAATTTAATTTATATGCACCTTGTCTCTTCAACTAAGACCAGTGCCTCCATTTTTTCACACTTTTCATAGCTCTCTAGGGAAGCATGAAAGATCAGATGCACTTAAATTTGAGTTGTGTTTTTATTCTTTCTTATTTTTATAAAATGGGCTTTGGCAGCACATTCTTTATTGTCCAGAACAATAGTAAAACTAGTGATTGCTATGAAGTTTATAAAGTTTTTATAACCCAGTGTTCCTTGGCACAGTTCCTTGCTCTGGGTATCATTGTGACATTGCTATATCATGACTGAAAATGATGGAAACAGTTTCATCAAAATATTATTCACAAAGATATATATTTAATTATATTTAAATACCACATGACCCTTAAGCCATGTTGAAGTGTAACCTTAATTCATGCAAGTAACTGAATGGTAAGAGGAACAGTATTACCTATTTGCCTTGCAGCAACTCAGCAATTAAGTAGTTTCCTACTTCATATTCAATAGGGGTATATTTCACATAACATATGAAATTGTGGTAATTTTGGAGGGTTATTAAAACAAATATGAAAAATCCTAGAAACAAAAACTTTATAGCTAACTTACTAATATTTGGAGAACTGGTTAAAATTAAATGATAGTTTTCTAAACATACCTTTTAAATACATCTTTATAATTATTTTTAGTTTCTGGATTTTCTAAACAAATTTCTCTGGCTGATATTTTTAACTTTATTGAGAAATCTTATAAGTATAAATATTATATTTTTAAATCTTCAAATTTGAATTTAGGCTAAATAAAAGGAACTTATCAAATAATAAATACTTCCATGTTTTTTTTCTTTGAATGTTTGCATTTTTTATATAAAATACAATGTCTTTTATTCAGTTGTGTTTTTAAAAAAAATTCTAGGCAAAACAGTAGTTAATTCAGAGAACAGGTTACATACATGAATTGAACACAGTTACCAAAATAACTAAGAATAAAAATCAATTATTCAAGTCATATTTTTCCTTTCATATCTGCAAATGAATCACCACTATTTTGAATATGTTCAATGTGCTAATATCAGATTCTTGCCTCCCCTATCCCACATCCTGTGGATATCTTCCAGTGACTTCAGAGGAAATTCTGTGGTCAAAAAGATACGCATATGAAAAATAAAAAAATGAGGGTTTCACTTCTAATTGTCATAAAGGAGACCTCAATGAGACTACAAAGACATAAAGTAAAAGGAAACTGGTTTGTGAATGCAAATGTAGGTACTGATACACTGTTAAACACAACAAAATAAAATATAAGATAAAAATCTAAACTTTTTTAAGAGACAAAAGATGAGTGTGACCCTGGTAAAGATTTAAAAACATTCTTACATATCTCTTCTCCAAAGCATCAAAACAACCTTGAATCCTGTCAAGAAATAAACGTTTGATGTCAATTTGGACCACATGAAAAAAAAGTCCAAAATATTGCCAAGTACAGAAGTAGTTTACCCTTTTCCTGCTTTTAAATATATTGAATTGATAACCATTTAACCATTTTACCTTTCCCATTTAATTATTTTTAAATCTCTCAACATCTTTTAAATGCTTTTAGAACTTTAAGCAATTCTAAGGCAGTGGAACATCTTTTTTTTTCTCTCATAATGTTTATTACACTGAGGTACAAATGATAATAAACAAATCTTGATGTTTTTCTTTATACAAGTTTATTTTCTTTTGAAAACAAATCAGTATCTTAAAATAATCTTAAAGTATTATTGAAGAATTGCTACAAAATTCTAGAATTTTTTTTTTAAAGAAAGAAATGGTTTTAAGGAAATCATCATACTAAATCAAATCTTATGGGCAATTTCGGCTATTATAAAAATTTGTTCAACTTTTTTGAAATTTCAGTTACTTACCATTTGATAATATGCAGTGACCCAGGACATTTTTTGTCTTCTCGAAGAATTTTTAAACTGAGATCTATAAAAATAGAAACAGTCTATTTTCATCTGCTGAGTACAGTACTGAGAATGTCCATGCTACGGTTTTTCCATTATTTTAGTTATATAACTTATTTAGTTTTATGGCCTATAAACATTTTGAATCTCTAAATATCATTTTAAAAATAAATCCTATGTTGATAATTATATTAGTCCCAATTTGATGACAGTTTAGCAGCCTTTCATGTTTATAACACAGAACAACTGGACTGCAAAATAGATTTGTTACTCTTTACTTCTTTTCAATTTTAAGTAATCATAGTATTGAGACTAACTCCATTGACTAATTTAAAACATACACCTCAATCTAATTTCTCTCCATCTCACTGAATAAAAAATGAAAAAAAAAATTGCATGGATTTTTCTCAAGGTTCTTTTCTTCCCTAAATACTTGGGTTTCAGATGGAAATAATGTTTGGTAATAAAGCCAAGTGTTTAGGGAAGAAAAGAAACATCATATTAAAAGTGTTTTGATTAAGATCAGTCAAAAGTCAATCACTGATTTGTTATAATTTTGTATGAGTCAATTACCTTTTCATATTGTTTTCCTACCCTAAAATAGACATCATCTCTTCTTCAATTGAAGGATATGAAAATCATTCCAGGTTGGCATAACATTTAAAGATTATTAGAAAGAAAATGACATAGGAGAATTGAGCATTTTAATAATGTGGGTTACTTTAAGTACAAATGGTGAGAAGGAGACAAAACTTCTACTATAACTGTCAAAGGAATGGTTTTAACCCCATGTCTAGGATAGTGACTGACATACAATAAGTGCTTAATTACCTAAAACATGTCCTTCACAATTCTATATTATAAATACAAAGAGAAACTGTAATGAGATGCTATATATAAACATATTCACTACTACAGATTTATATACCATAATTTTTTAAAAAGTCATATAATACAAATTAAGTTATCATGATCACAATATCATGCTGATATTGTTTATAGTACACATGCATTTCATTGATGCTTATATAGAGAATTAAATACTACTTAAAAATTAAATTGGAATGAATGAGGCTAAGTTATGCCATTAAATATGAATGTGAGAGAGTTAAATTTAGATTTTGAAAAAATAACATCTTAACAAGGAAACTTGTGGCTCTATTAATTTTCCAAATGACAGTTCCCATTTTAATAACAAATCAAAAAGATCCAAAGTCCAAAATATTAGTGTCTTTTTTTTTTTTAAAAAAAAAGACACTAATATTTTGAAAAACTGAAGAATCCCAGGTACATTTTTTTTTTAATATGAAGGAAGGAAAGGAGCCAGAAATAGCTTATGATACAAGGCAATAAGGTGATATGTTTAAGGGCACAAGAAACAAAAGGAGTGAAATTGGCAATTGAGAAAAAGACAGAACTAGTAAGAATAGTAGTTTGTCTAAATATCCATAATAATCAACAAATAGATTTGCCTTTTTCCCCCCAGCATAGTTATATATGTTAATAGGGAGAAGAGTTTTTCACCTGATTCCTTTGAACTTCCTCAAAGAACAAATTCAAATAAGGTGAAAACTAAAATGAATCTTTAGCATTCAGATCTTGTTCTGGCTATTATTTTATAGGGATAGCTTAGAAATACTACTATGCTTGTCCATACAGATTTATTTTTTTCATTTGTAACTTGTCAGAAGTTAATGTTTCTTTTAAGAAAAACCACTAAAATAGTGAAATTAAAATGGAAAACGGATGAGCAATTTAGTCTTGTAGACCCATGAGTTGCAATTGGTACATTGTGAGAAATGAATTTACTCCTGCTAAATAGAGAAAATGGCTATAACAACCAAAGCAACCATTTTAATTAAATTTTACCATCCAAATGGCGTTCTCCATAAGAACTCTCTGGGAACAGGCCCCTTAGGTATGTTATGCATGAGATAGAAGTAGCAAAAAGTTTCTTCACCATTATCAGTGACTCATGCTCATTAGTGATTTGGGATGGAAAAACTGTTTCCTAGAAAAAAATAAGGTGAAAAACATTAGTATTTTTAAATATATTCATCCCACCAACTATACTATTATCACAGGTAGGATAGAAAGTTTTTTTTTTACTTCAAATTTGATATATTTAGAGGTAATAAAATGGAAATAGGGCTTTATATTGCATTATATTATGTAGTCAGTGCTAGAGCGCTTGCCTAATGTGGGAGGTTCAATCCCCAACATCTCAAAAGGGGGAAAAAGGAGCTGGGGCTGTGGTCAGCAGAGGTGCACTTGCCTGGCATGTGTGAGGCACTGGGTTCGATTCTTGTTATTAGTAGGTTGCACATTTGTGTACTTTCTTACTCACTACAATTTATTTGTAAATCCAGAACCAACAATTTTTCATTTTTGCAATCATTTACAGATATGCATAGGGCAGCAACAAATTTGTCATCTGAAGCCCATGTTTCCATGTTTACAGTATGAGAGCTGAAATAAAGCCACTCTCTTTCTTCTCAGTTCAGCTATCATACTGTAAACATGTGTACTTTTTTTAGTCTATTTAGTGCCCAATTATTTAACTCTTTTGGGCTTCCTTTTATGATTTTGCTATTTAAAATGGCCCCAAGCATAAGGAAATGCTGATTGATTCCTAAGTTCCTGTGATATCCGTTAGAAAAAAAAATGCATGTGTTAGATAACTTTCATTTAGGCATGAATAAGTGTGTGCATGTGTGTGTGTGTGTGTGTGTGTGTATTCACAGATAATTGCGCACATTTGTATAAGCAAGGAAAAAGGTGTAGAAAGAAGCAGGTGAAGTTCTTAACAGCATAACCTCAGAGGGTGATTTAAGGGTAGAAGGATAACAGTAAGGGAGTATAGTAAAATGATTAAGAGGATGACAGTACAAAGAGTCAGGTTTAAGTCCTTATTCTGTTACTAACAAACTGTATGGTCTTGGTCACAGGCCAGAAAGTTTTTCTGTCAAAGGGCCACGTAGTAAATATTTTAGGCTTTGTAGTTGATTTTGCCATTTAGCATGTAGGAAGCTATAGACACTCTTAACTGAATGGGAGTAGGTTATGTTCCAACAAAATTTTATTTACAATGTATGGTGGAAAGTTCCTGATATTTACTTCTCTGCAAACTATTTCTATCATCTGTAAAATATAGATAACAGTGACAACTACTTAAAAATATTTTTTAGTGATACATACTTTGTTGAATTGTTGCTGAGAGTAATTGAGTTAATATTTATAAAGTGCTTAAATAGAGCCTGGTTCAACAGTTTAATATTTTTCATGTATCATTTCAATTGTTACAACAAGCATGTATTACTCTGATAATCTGTAAAATATTAAATAAAACCAAAATTAAAATAAAGAGAACACTTGAGCCAGGCGCAGTGGTGCATGCCTGTAATCCCAGCAACTCAGGAGGCTGAGGCAGGATCCTAAATTCAAAGGCAGCCTCAGCAACTCACTGAGGCCCTAAGCAACTTAGGGAGACCCTGTCTCAAAATAAAATATGAAAAGGGCTAGGATGTGGCTCAGTGGTCAAGCGACCCTGGGTTCAATCCTCAATACTAGAGAGAGAGGGGGGAGGAGTGGGGGGAGGGAAAAACATCAGTAGCCTCATGGAATTTACAATCCAATCAAAAAGAAAAGACTTGGACATAAAAGAGAAGTTAGAATACCAGACAGCAGAGACTAAGTAGTAAATGAATGGAGAGACACTAGAGGCTCCAGGAAGAGAAGGTGAGCTATTGGTTACCTGAGGCTGGCCCTGAGTATGAAGGCTTTGTAGGCAAAACGAGACCTAGTTGGGTCCTGAAAAAAAGGTAGGATTTGAACAAGTGGCAAGAAAGAGGAATAGAATTAGTCCAGGCAAGGAAGCAAGAATGCTGTGACACATCTGGGACACAGGTATCAGGTTGAAATCGTGATGCTGAGAGTTCAAGCAGGGTATAATGGGAATAAAAAGGGGGAAGGACATAGAAACCAAGATGTAGCAAATCTAGAATGCTACATAAAAAAAAATTGTATTTAATCCTTAAAGAAACAGGAAATTCCTGAAACTTGGATAGGGAAGTTTTCTTCTATTATTAAATGCTTGAGTTAAAAAACATCTACAGCTCTAGGACCACCAGAAGTATCTTATATGTGTAGCAAAGTAGTAGTCCTCAAATCTGATGAAGTTCTTTAAAAATTTTTATTTTTTAAAAATTTTAGCCAGGCTCAGTGGTGCACGCCTGTAATTCCAGCAGCTTGGGAGGCTCAGGCAGGAGGATCGCGAGTTCAAAGCCAGCCTCAGCAAAAGTGAGGTGCTAAGCAACTCATTGAGACCTTGTCTCTAAATAAAATACAAAATAGGGCTGAGGATGTAGCTCAGTGGTGAAATGCCCCTAAGTTCAATCCCTGGTACCCCACTTTCCAAAAAAAGATTAAAAAAATTTTACATATGATATATATATGATAGTTACACAGAGTATAACTTATTCTAATTAGGATCCCATTCTTGCATTCTTGTGGTTGTGTATGATGTCGAGTTTCACTGGTCGTGTACTCATATATAACAGGAAAGTTATGTCTGATTCATTCTACTCTCTTTCCTATTTCCATCCCCCACCCTTTCCTTCATTTCCCTTTGTGTAATCTAATGCTTCTATTCTTCCCTCCTCCCGCTCCTTATTATGTGTTAGCATTCACATATCAGAGGGAACATTTGGCCTTTGGTTTTCTAGGATTGGCTTATTTCACTTCGCATGATAGTAACCAGTTCCATCCATTTACCAGTAAATGCCACAATTTCATTTTTCTTTATGGCTGAGTAATATTCTACATTCTCTTTATCTATCCATCTGTTGAAGGGCATTTAGGTTGGTTCAATAGCTTAGATACTGTGAACTGAGTTACTATAAACATTGATGTGGCTGTTACTATAATATGCTGATTTTAAGTCCTTTGGGTATATGCTGAGGATAACTGGGTCAATTGGTGGTTCCATTCCAAGTTTCCTGAGGAATCTTCATACTGTTTTCCATGGTGGTTATAGCAGTTTGCAGTCCCACTAGCAATTTCCTCGCCAACATTTACTGTTACTTGTATTCTTGATAATTGCCATTCTGACTGGGGTGAGATGGAATCTCAGTGTAGTTTTGATTCGCATTTCATTAATTGCTAGAGATGTTGAATATTTTTTTATATATTTGTTGACCATTCATATTTTTTCTTCTGAGAAGTGCCTATTCGATGCCTATTCTGTGAAGTGCCTATTCAGTGCCTATTTAGTGCCCATTCATTGGTTGGGTTATTTGTTTTTTGGGTGTTAAGTTTTTTGAATTCTTTATATATCCAGGAGATTAATGCTCTGAGGTGCAGGTGGAAAAGATTTTCTCCCATTATGTAGGCTTTCTCTTTATATTCTTGCTTGTTTCCCTTGCTGCAAAGAAGCTTTTTAGTTGGATACCATTCCATTTATTGATACTTGATTTTACTTCTTGTGCTCTAGGAGTCTTACTGAGGAAGTCTGTTCCTAAGACAACATAATGGAGATGCAGGCCTACATTTTCTTCTGGTAGCCATAGGGTCTCTGGTTTAATGCTTACTTAGGTCCTTGATCTACTTTGAATTGAGTTTTGTGTAGGGTGAAAGATAGGAGATAAATTTCATTTACTGTATATGGATTTCCAGTTTTGTCAGCACCATTTATTGAAGAGGCTATCTTTTCTCCAATGTATGTTTTTGGTGCCTTATCTAGTATAAGATAACTGTATTTGTGTGGGTTTGTCTCTGTGTCTTCTGTTCTATTGGTCTTTGTGTCTATTTTTATGCCGATATTTTGCTGTTTTTGTTACTGTAGTTCTGTACTATAAAATCTGGTATTGTGATGCCTCCTGCTTCACTTTTCTCACTAAAGATTAGTTTGACCATTCTGGGCCTCTTATTTTGCCAAATGTATTTCATGACTGCTTTTTCTAGTTCTGTGAAGAACATCATTGGAGTTTTAATAGGAATTGTATCAAATCTGTATGGTATTAATTCCGCCTATCCAAGAACATGGGAGGTCTTTGCATCTTCTAAGACCTTTTTCAATTTCTTTCTTGCATTGTAGAGATCTTTCACCTCTATTGTTAGATTGATTCCCACTATTTTTTTTTGAGGCTATTGTGAATGGGATAGTTTTCCTAATTTCTCTTTCAGCTGATTCATCACTGGTGTATAGGAACACAATTGATTTATGGGTGTTATCTTGTTACTTTGCTGAATTTATTTATGAATTCTAAAAGCTTTTTGGTGCAGTGTTTTTGGTCTTCTAAATATAGAATATCGTTGGCAAATTGGAGTAGTTTGAGGTCTTCTTTTCCTATTCATATCTTTTAAATTTTTTTTGCCTAATTGCTCTGGCTAGGGTTGATGAAGGTTTTTTAAAAATAAATGACAGCAGAATGCATTACAATTCTTATTGCACACATATACCACAATTTTTCATATCTCTGGTTGTATATAAAGTATGTTGACACCAATTTGTGTCTTCATATGTACTTTGGATAATGATGTCTATCACATTCCACCATCCTTGCTAACCCCCTTTCCCTCCCACCCCTCTGCCCTATCTAGAATCATCAGTTCTTCCCATGTTCCCCTTCCCTACCCCATTATGAGTCAGCCTCCTTATATCAGAGAAAATATTCGGCATTTGTTTTTTTGGGGGATTGGCTAATTTCGCTTAGCATTATCTTCTTCAATGCCATCCATTTACCTGCAAATGCCATGATTTTATTCTCTTTTATTGCTGAGTAAAATTCCACTGTGTATTTATGCCACATTTTTTAAATTCATTCATCCATTGAGGGGCATCTAGGTTGGGTCCACATTTTAGCTATTGTGAATTATGCTGCTATAAACATTGATGTGGCTGTGTCCTTGTAGTATGCTGTTTTTAAGTCTTTTGGGTATAGATCAAGGAGAGGGATAGCTGGGTCAAATCGTGGTTCCATTCCCAGATGATAAAGTTATTTTTAAGACCAAGTCATACTTATAAGCTTCTATTACCAGCAAGCCTCAATATGATAAAATACAAATTTGGTTAGGTTCTGGGGATTCCAAAACTTGTGACAGAATATACTTTACCTGTTACAATTGTAGTGAGACTACACTAACATAGATGAAATTATTTTTAATACTTATGTGGCCTTAATAATAAATAGGCATTTATCTTCAGATTAAGGTCGAGAAAATTAGTTGGGTAGATCTACCCTCAATCCTTTTTTAGGCCTTGCACAGCATTTTAAAACTGAAAGGCTCTTTGAGTTAATCTAATAAAATGTACTCATGCCTCAGGTGCCAAAAAGAAACCTAGGAAATAAATTATTTGCCAGATCATAGAGCTAGCAAGTGACTGAGATCCTTTTACTATATAACACAATTCTACTGCTTAAGTTTTATAATTCTGTCACACAGAAGCAGAAACTACCCCTCAACAGGTCTTTAGATGAAAAAGAACTTCCCCAAAGCTTTTCTATATCCATAAAAATGATTTTAGAATGTACAAAAGACATTCTAGATGTAATTATGATGCATAAGAATGCAAAGTTTTAAAATTATGATGACAGCAAATCTTTTCCTGGCACAAATAACACTTGTTTGGAAAAGGTGTGTGTGTAGTGGGGGAATGCAAGTGGGTGATTTTCCTATTTTATTAAAAATAAAAGGAAGACAACTCTACAGTTTTTTTTCTTTTTCTTCCAGCTCCCAGTGTGTAATGTTAAATATTAGCCCTAGACAGGCATATATACATATATACAGACCTAGTCTCTAAAACTGCTTGGCAAATTCAAAATCAACTGCATTGTCTTACTGTCCACTTCCTGTCCTTCCCCTTCCCTGTCTATAACTATTTATAAAAGACTCAGAAGTAAAAAGAGGTCAGGAGGTTTTTAAGTGGCTAGTGAGACCAGATAAAACGATGTCTTATGCAATAGAGACAACCACCAAAAAGTCCTCCTAGGACACAATCCATCAATTATGTGGAAAAACCCGAAGTTTCAACAGTGTACACTGAAGCACTTGGCTGACTGATTCCTCTCACCTTCCCCAAAAGTTTCCACTTCCATTTAACAGGGGACTTTGTGAAGCCCAAAGACCTTCCAATGGATAGTTTCTAGCTGACTGGCAAAAGCTTTAGCTTCTCCCAACTGTTACTTGGACCCCATCCCCTTCCCTAAGAAAACAGAGAGACCATAAGCGCAGATTAACAAAAGTGAGAAGGAAACTGGGCTTGGACCTGCCACTGCTCATCATTGGGGAGTCACTCCAGGGAGAGTTTTTTCTACCTCCCTTCTTTGCTGCTTGCAGCTGCCACCCCTTTCCTTCCCACCAAAGGTTCTGAAAGTCTCAAAAGGGGTGCCCAACTTAAAGAAAGACTTAAAGATACTCCTACAACCCCTGTAGTTCTGGGTTCCCTCTCGTCTAGCCAGAACAAACTACCTTGCCTATTCTGTCCTCTGCCATCTATCTTCATAGTGAATAAACTACTCAACAAAACACACATACCCACCTAAATCCCTAACCCTGTAATATTACTAGCAAATCAACAAAACAAAATATAAGTAATCCTCATCATTACACAGATGAGATTGGTTGTTGCTGTCCTTGTACAACTGGTTAAGGAAAAGGAAATTATTCTACAATTTCTGAGGAATCCAAATTCTGTCTCTAATAAAATGAGAATAGAATGGGGCAAAGGGTTATAGATGAGGATCAAGAGAGAAGAATGGAGAAAAGTATTTACAGAAAATAGAGAGGAAGGAGTGTCCATAAGAAAAACCTTCATTGTCACTTCTTGGCAGCCCTCTTGGCACTGGACTTGGCTTTGGGCTTCACTGGTTTGGCCTTCTTGGGTTTGGATGCTTTGATGGGCTTGGCTTTGATAATCTTGTTTTTTTTTTTTTTCCTTGGGTGTGGCAGCCAGCTTCCTCTTGGCCTTCTTGACTGGGGGTGCTTTGGGCTTCTTGCTGGGGCTTCGGAGGCAGCCTTCTTGGCATAGCCACCTTCTTGATTTCTTTTTTGACTTCTTTGGCATAGCCACCTTCTTGATTTCTTTTTTGATCTTTTTGGAGGCCACTGACCTCTTGGGCTTTCCACTCTTGGCCAAACAGAAGGACCCTGAGGCACCATCCTTTTGGTTTGATTGAGGACATTGGTGGTCACCAGATGCTTGATGGACAACTAGATCTGGGAGTTGGTGTTCTTACCCATCTTATAGAGACTCTTGTTATATTTCCAGATGGATTTTCCCAAGGAGCCAGTGCTGTTCTTCTCAGCCTGGATGGCAGCCATGATCATTTCTGAATACATGGGGTGGACTGTGGATTTCTTGGAGGCTTTCACCCACGTGGGTTTGGCTGTAGGACATGGAGTTCTCAGTCATGGTGACCCACCTGGTCCTGCTGTTGAAGGCACCTTCCAAAGGACTAGCCCTTGTGGAAGGCTGAATAAAGCCTGACTTGGGATCTGCTCTTGGTCCCCTGACCATCAGGCCAATCCGGAGTCTGGCTATCGGGGATGAGGGTGAGGGATCACTTCTTCTTCTTGCCCAGCCAGCTCCTCATGGCTTGCTCGCACCCGTGTGCACTTGGGTCCGGCATCTGGCTCCAGCTGTGGCTTAGGCCTGGGTTTGGGTTTGGACTCCTGCTCCTGCTCTGCCTCCACTTCTACTTCCCTTTTCTCAGCTCTGCACCTCAAGAATGCCTCTTGTTTGGTATACTACACAGAGAGTGGTAATGAATTACCATTTCATTCTTTTTGTCAAAGCATAGTACATACAGTTGTTAACAGTTATATAAAACATCATTAATTTTGCATGAAACATGTATTGAGGTATGTGTTTGTGTGTAAAATTTTTGAAAAAATTGCTTTTTGTATCTATAGATCTTGATGAATTAAGGTTCTTTTAAGTAATTGGGTAGTAGCTGGCAGAGCATGCATGTATTAACTTATTGAAAACAATCCAAAATGTAGAGGCAATACTTGAATAACATATTTATAAAACTGAATAATTTGAAACTATGAAGATATTTTACACTAAATGTGCAATTTAAAAGTAATAATAATAATAATTTGTAGTAATGAAGATCAATGGTTGGTAAAGCCCCCTACAGTTTGTTACGATAGGGATTTTTTTCCCTCTGCTCAGCTGGTATAATACTTCAGGATTGTTATTGGTAGTTTTATAAATGTCTAATATATTATATATTTCATATCAATATATGAAATATATTTCTTCCACACTTAGGTAAATATGGGTATATCAACTTACTGTCTATAAATCTTATTATCCTAAACAGATAATAAACTTTTGGAAGATAAAATTTTAGTTTTGTCTGTTTGCTTGATTTTGGTGTTCTCTTAGAAAATAAAACACTATTACATATATTTTATAATATTGAATCTCAATGAATGATGTATTAATAAAGGTTTTAATCCAGCAAGGTTGCCTGGTCTTGGCATGCATTCTATTATGGTTTGGATCTAAAATGTCCCCCCAAAGTCCCATATGCAAAGGACTTGGTTGCCAGCCTATGGTGCCATTTGGAGGTGGTGGAATCTTTAGGAGGGGGGCCTAGTAGGAAGAAATTAGGTCATTGGGTGTATGCCCTTGAAAGGAATATTGGGATCCTGGCCCTTTTTTCTCTTTTTCCTTGCTTCCCAGCCACTGAAATGAGCAGCTTTACTCTACCACATGCTTCAAGCCATGATGTTCTGCCTTGCCAAAGGTCTTGAATCAATGGAGCCAACCCACTATGCACTGAAACCTCTGAAACCATGTCATAATAAATTCTTCCCTCTTTTTAAATTGATTATCTCAAGTATTTTGTCACAGCAATGGAATGCTGACCAACACACTCCCCTAGGCTCCTAACATCTGCATTTCTCTCAGTGCTTTACCCTCTAGTTCCTCTAATTACGTCACCATGTGCAGCACAAATTTCCTAATTGCTTCAGGAGATGAATGTCTAACAAAGAACCAGTCTCTTAAAATGCCTTTTAGTTCTGATTTCTTTTACTCTAGAAGACAGAAATATTTCAACATGAAATAAGCACCCAGTCAATAACTTTGTGATCTATTTTAATTTCCCAAATATCCCAAATCCATTAGACAATTAAAATGTAGACATATTCTCCAAGAATATTATGTGCCAATTGATAAGTGGTAAAATTGTTTCAATAAAAAGCAAAGATTAACATCTTGATTCTGAAGTGACACAATAAATGGTCATTGATTTTCTTTTAACTTCCAACAAATACCTTAGATGCCTTGTGAATTCTGATGGAATGAGAGAGTTGAGCAGTAGCCATTTGTAAAAATGTTTCAGGATTCTTTCAATAATTAAAACCTGTTGAAAAAAATTAATTAGAGATCTTGTCTATCATAGTATTTTCTATTTTATTCTTCCTAAAGGTAGAACTGAAAGATAAATGAAAAACTAAAATCAAGGACAGTTAAGTATAAACTATTTCTTAGATTGTTCAGTTAGAGAGAAGCTGACCAAGCTTAATTTTGAAAACATAAAGGAAGAATGAATACTACAATAGTGCTATCAGGCCTTATCCAAACTATAAAATAAATTTGAATCCTTATTGAGAATTTTTCAAAGAATTACATAAGTTATAGTTGAATATAATCTGTGGAAAAATAAGTTTTTAATTTTTTTCTTGGTTTTAGTTGGACACAATACCTTTATTTTATTTATTTATTTTTGTGTGGTTCTGAGGATTGAACCCAGCACCTTGCACGTGCTAGGTGAGTGCTCTACTGCTGAGCTACAACCCCAGCCCCAGCAAATAAGTTTAATAAACATTTATTTTCCACTACTCATTTTCTATAAATTTAGCATAAAGTCACTGGATTAATTTTTTAAGCTACCCAATTAAAATCATATGATGATTTATTCATTCACAAACACATACTGAGGAGAAAAATAAGTTATAAACCACCTAGAGAGTCAATAAAATATTTTGCTCATCCTTGTTATTTCCCTTAGAGTTTAATACAGCTCTGTATATAGCAGGGGCTGAAAAACATTTCTTGAATTAACTTCAGATGTAATTTATTTGCAAATTCCAAATTCAAAAGATAATGTGTATACTTCATATCCATTACAATGACTACTCAAAAAGATGGAAAAGAGTGTTAGTGAAAATGTGAAGAAATTAAAAACTGTATGCGTTGCTGGTGGGAATGTAAAATCGTCCATCCTTGTGGGAAACAGTATGGCAGTTCCTCAAAAATTTAAACAGAATAACCTTAATAACCAGCAATCCAATTTCCAGGAAGATAGCAAAAAAAAAAAAAAAGTTGAAAATGAAGGTTCAGATTCTTGTAGACTAATGTTCATAGCAGCATTTCAAAATATTCAAAAGGTAAAAACAACATAAATGCCTATGAATAAATAAATCAATATTGGGAGCAGTGGCATGCACCAATAGTCCTAGCTATTGAAAAGGCTGAGGTAGTGAGGTAGGAGGGCTATTTAAGTCCAGGAACACATAACAAGAACCTATTGCAAAGAAAGAAGGAAGAAAGGAAGGAAGGGAGGGAGGAAGAAAAGAAGGAAGGAAAAGAAAGGCAGATGAATAAACAAAATGTGGTATACATCAGGGAATATATGTTTAGAAAGGATTGAAATTCTGATACATGCTACAATATAAAGAACCACAAAAACATGCAGAGTGAAAAATTCTAGACACAAGACAAATATGTTATAATTTTATAGATTATGTACCAACAGTTGGTAAATTCATGGAAAATATAATAAAGGTTATCAGGGGCTGGGGGGATTAAAAAAGGGGAGTAAATGGATAGGGTTTTTTTTTGGGGGGGTGACGAATAGTTTTGGAAATGGATAGTGGTGATGGCTGCACAACATAGTGAATGTAGTTAGTGCCACTAAATTGTACACCTGAGAATGGGTGAGGTGATGAGTTTTATGTTAAATATAGTTTACCATAATAAAAAAGCTAAGGTTTAGAATATCTGGTTTTCACCTCTTTTGCTTCATGAACATAAAACAAAAGCAAATCTTCCCTTTTCTTTCCAGAAGCCTTATTTAATTTCATTTGGAGCTTATTTTCATGGTTTTATGGAGTTCTAAAAGATTTGTGAAATAACTCATCTGAAGAAATTTCATTTTGGAGCACCCAGGATAGGCTGTGACCTATTGTATTATCAATTGACACAAGATTCTGGAAGATTTTTGCCAAAAAGTTGAAGATTACTGCCACAAGGTGGTGATAGAGATTATAAATAAGTAACATTAAATTTCTCTCTTCAGAGCAGCAGTAGGGAATACTGTATTACAATATTTTATATGAGGCAGTAAACCACCCAATAGTCTTTTAGTCTTTAAGCTTCCACAGTACCATTTATTGACTTCAGAGTATAACCTCAAATCTTACTTAACAGATCGGTTGCCTCCCTTAAATTTCAAGAATTAAAATGAGGAGAGGGTAAAAGTAGCAATAAGAATTTCTATCTAATTCTAGCCCATTAAACCATTATCCCCCACTGGGTGGTAGTTATTAGATTTAGAGACAATAAGAGGAACAATGATTTTTAAATAGCTTTCTATATTGATGGGGTTCTTTTTATTTCTCTATGATCATAAGCTATTCTAATGGCCTATTGAGAGAAACAAGCCCTGAAAATAGCATCAGCCAACTAAAATATAATGCATTACTACACCTATATTTTACAATGTATAAATGGCCTATATTAAACTCATATTAAAGACATGCAGGGCATTTGCTTTTCAGAAAGCATTCAAATTAGGCTTTTTTAGTATTTGGTAATTTCCTAAGGAATCAATATTTATAAGATGAATAAAATTAAAATTTATACACACAAATATATGTATGCTGAGAAAAATAACCAGCATAATAACACAGTAGAAAGAGGCATTGGAGTTAAGGAACCTGAATTCAAATTCTGACTCAACTACCTAGCAGTCATGTGACTCTAGACAAATTACTTAATGTCTCTGGGCTTTAAAATCCTTTTTTTTTTGTAAAATGGAGGCAATTGCACCTACTTTCCAGGCTTGTTCAGTGTTCTATCTGAGCATGTGTTTATCTGGAGAGGTATCACAGCACCTTATTTAAGGACATGAACTCTAGATGACTTTCCTTACATATGTATGATATGAAGGATAGCTTCACTCAAATGCAGCATAAGTGAGTTGAAAAGATTAATGAAGTTGGAAGACAACATAGAATCCTTTACTACCAATCCAACCTCTTCATTTTAAAGAAGAGGAAAGTCAATTTAGTGGAGGAAGGATAGTTTTTTCAACAAATATTGCTAGAATTAAAATGATATACAGAGGGTGGGGGAGGGAGAGAAAGGGAAAAAGAGAAAGAAAAGAACCTCAACCTAAAATTTAACAATATACAAATATTAATTAAAAATGAATTATGGATTTAAATGTAAAACATATAACCATAATGAAAAAGAAAGTGAAGTTCAGCAAGGAGACTTGGTTTACCAAAGTTCACCCAGTGATTTAGACCTGTCATTTAGAGCTTGCTTCAATAAATTATTATTCACTGGTTCAACACATTCCATTTGCCCCTAATAATTCTGCTACTCCATGCTCGTTCAGAGTAAAAGATTTCCACTGCATTAACTGGGTATTTGTTGATACTCTTTTGATCTTGCATAACTTTTTCATGCTACTTCAATGGTTCATGCAACATTCACCAGGCAACTGCGATGTGCCAGGCATCATCCTGCAGGATTACAAACTCTAAGACGTTTCCCATCTCAAGGGAATTAGAGTCAATGGGGGCAAAATGGGAGTATCATCCTAACGAGTTTTTTTTTTTTTTTTCCCTCAAACAAGGTTTAAAACCCCAACTGGGGGCAACAACCAAGCTTTTCCTTCCTTTTCATCAGGTGAGCACAGCTAGGCCATTGGCTAATCTTGAGGGTTTTTTTTTTTTAAATTTCAAATTTTTAACTTCTAATTGATTTTTTAAAGATAAATGACAGCGGAATGCATTCCAATTCTTATTACACATATAGAGCACAATTTTTCATATCTCTGGTTGTATATAAAGTATGTTCACACCTGACGACACTAGCTGCCTTGTCCTATTAGGACGACTGTAGTCCACAGAGATTAAAGGCAAATTCTCCATAAAGTGAAAGAGGAACCCAGGTCATTCCCCGGGGACTGGTGGCCACCTCTCTCATATCTTGGTCTGCACCAGGCATCGGTTCCAGGCCGAACACGTCAATGGCTGGAGAAAGCCTGACCAGGTGAAGGAAAACCCCCAAAGCTCCACACGCGCCTCCTTCTAGTACACAGCCGGCGGCTGCCTCGCGGCAAATTAATGGCTGCGTTTCCTCGCCCAGACCCATCCCTCCGGCTCCTCAAAAGTATGAATTTTAAAGTTACTGGACGGTGGGGATGCGGGTGTTCCCACCCCATTTGTATTTCCTTCTCCGTCTCCTTTTTTAAATGTATGAAAATTTTCCTCATCAAAAGTCGGGGGAGGGGCTGGGGTTGTGGCTCAGAGGTAGATCGCTCGCCTACCTTGCGTGAGGCCCTGGGTTCGATCCTCAGCACCACTTGAAAATAAAGACATTGTGCACACCTATAAGTAAAAAATAAACAAAAAAAAGTCGGGGGAAGTTACCTATAGCCTCCCCTGGGCCGCCTCCTCAGCCCCGGCGTTTCTGCTTCTCCTCGGAAAATGTTTGACTCTGCGAAATACTTTAAAATCAAACAGAGGCTCAAACAAGAAGAAAAGAAAAACGTTTTTAACACGAAGAACACAGGACTAACAACGCCCAAGCGTCCTTTCTCAAGAGACCTGGGCTCTGAACAGCTGTCACCTTAGCGGGTCAACGCCTCCCTCTCACCCGCACTCAACGGCTCAAACAAGCCCTCTCAGGCTCATGAATAATCAGCAAAGGCTTCCTGGGCGGGGTCAGATATTTCCTCATGAATAATGCATTTTTCCTCCACCGACCGCGGGAGGCGTAGCACAGCCAAATGAATATGCAAAGCAGGGGCGTGTGGCAGCTAATGCTCGCCGGCCGGAAGGCGGGGCCCCCCTCGGCTCACAGCTGAGTTCCGGCGCCGGCTCTAAGTGCCGCTCTCCCGCAGCTAGAGCCACTTATCTCCTCACTTCCTAGGGCTCGCGCCGCGCTCCGGGGTTAAAGGGACCGGCACGGAGCTCGTGCTGCCTTGGGAGCTGGGGGCGCGGCCAGGGACCCGCACCGAGTTCTCGGGGCCTCGGGAAGCTTGCGGGCGGACCTGGTCTGTCTGGGCAACCGGTAGAATGAGAACGGCCTGTTCGGGGGCTCCTACAGGCGGTGCCTGCCCGCCGAGGTGAGGCGGCCGGGCTGGGTGGGGGTGAGGTCCCAGGGGACTTTGGGGCCCATAGACGGGCCGCTGCGAGGCGGGGTCCCAGAGAGGTCCCAGGCCAACGCAGGGCTGAGGGAGCCCGGGCCGGATAGATCTTGGAGGGGTCTGGCGTTGAACAGAAGGACGGGTTAGGGATCCAAAGGGCAAAGTTCCTCAGTTTTCCAGGGCATCTCCCACCTCTTTCCTGCTAGTGACTTACTAGGTATTTTCAACTTTAGTGTGTAATTATGCAAACTAAAAAGTCTACATGGATTCTCCTTATCCAGTCCTGAGCTCAGTCCCTTCCTCAGAGGTAACCCTTGGCAGCCGCAGGACCTGGTTTCCCCACGGCTTTTCCCATGTGTCTAAGTACGTCTTTTCTAACCTGGACAACTTTCCAAAGCTTCTTGGAGTCCTTTCAGCTTCTGCAATGGGATTTCCTGAGACAATGGAGTAAAGAGTGGGCCACTTGACAGCTAGCTGTTCTTATTTTGTTCCTGCCGGAAAGAAAAAAGATCCAAGCTGCTGAGAACAGGAGTTTCAGAAAAATGAGATATTATATCCCATGTGATTCAAATGTATGATATGTCAAGGTCATTGTACTGTCATGTGTAACTAATTAAAACAAACAAACAAAATAGAATGAAGAAAACTGTAATTTCCAATGAAATACTCTCTCCTAGCAGGTTTTTGCAATCTCAGCACTAATATCATCCTTCTCCTCAGTCCTGACAATCAAAGCTGCCTCCAGTCTTGGCCAGAAGTTCCCTGGGGAGCAAAATCACTTTCAGTTGATTACTGCTTTAATCCTATACTTCCCAGAAGTAACTGCTTTTGAAGCTCCGACCACACACATAGATGGTCTTGTTCCATTCCAATGGACCACTGGCTCCTCTATGCTGGCTGTCCTAATTGTCACCTGCCTTCTGGTCTGAGCTCAGTCAACTTATACCATGTCCAAAAACCTTCTCCCTTGCCCCTTACTAATGGCAATCCTTCCCACTCAATTATTTTCTCTCACTTTTTATTATTCTGTTTCCTTCACAGAACTTATGTCAACCTAGATTTCATTTATCTGTTAACCTGTTCTTCTTTCTTAACCATAGTCTATAAATAAGCTGCGTCAGAGGCCTGAATTACCACCCCAGGATTCCCAGTACTCAGCACAGTACCCAGCAGACAATGGGTATTAAAAAAAAAATATTGGTGGACTGAAAAAATAATTTATCCTCTCTTTCTTCTAGTTGCTTCTGTGAAGTTTCTCTTACTCTTTCCCCTGCTCATTCCTTGCTGATCTCCTTGAGACTTTTGTTTAGAATCTGAATGGATGAATGAGCACCTGACCCTGGCCCTGCAGTAGGAGCTATGGGTAAAACGTTCACCTTTCCGACTAGCTTATCAACTCATTGAGGGCAGGAGCTGCTTAATTTCATTTTATTTGTTATATTCATGGAAGGTTTTCAATAGATAATTGAGTAAACTAACTCAAACAATTTCCCAGCTTCTGCCCCTACATCCACCCTTTTAGTGATAAGAGACTGAAAATCCTCGCTTTCAAAGCAAAATGTCTTGTTTAGGGATGGGGAAATGTGTATTGCACTAGAAGTTGATCATTATTCATGAAAGATGTCAAAATTCTCCGGTTGTTAAAGTTTTTCCAAAACTTATTATACACATAGTAACAGGCAAAACAGGTGAAAGGAGGACAGGGAGGAAAATCTTATTTGAGGTGACTTTCACTGGCTGGATTTAATTAGTTATTTTGAGATGAGGTCTTACTGTGCTGCCCAGGCTGATCTTGAATTCCTCAGTTCCAGTGGTCTTCCATCCTCATCCTCAAAAGTGCTAGGATACAAGCAGGTGCCACTGCACCCAGATTCACTGGCAAGATTTTCTCTTTCCACTTTAGAAACATCTGTGTCATGTGACTGTATCTGATACAGTCACATGACACAGATGTTTCTAAAGAGACAGTCTCTAATCATTGACCCTTAATCTTTGAGTGCTAAGGATGATTTTTAATTCTCAGTTAATAGGAATTCATGGTTCTCTCTTTGATCTTAATAATTTTATTTGGCAACACGTGTTAATAGAATCTTGTGGAGTCAGGCTCTCAGCTTTTAGAATCTCAGAGGTTCTGCTGAGAAACCAGACAACACATTGTGATACAATAAACAGCTCAGTTTTGCCTACTTAAACCAATCAGAACTTTGCCCATCAAGTTCAGATAAATCTTGGATATCTTCTCCAAAAGATGGGATACTTGAGACTTTTCAAAACACACGTATTGAATAGAATGTGTCCCCAGGACATCTCTAGAGGTGTCCCTGTTCAGTGTGATTATGCACACTGAGAAGAGATTGGTTAGAAAGAAGCTAAGTAGGAAGGGTGGTTTATTTTTTGCTATTTGCTTTCAACTTTCAATAGAACTCCTAAAATCAATATAACTTCCAGTTATCAAAAGCTGACACCACTGTATTTGTCCATTCATCAAGCATTTACTTTATACTACCATTTTATAAAGCATTCCATTTGGTACCATATGGATCAGAGACATAATGACTTGGTCCCTGAGCTGTGGGAGATTATGGTGTAGTGAGAGAAGGACACTCATAAACATATTCCTTACATGGAAAATAGTGGTTAATTTGAATTGTCAACTTGGATTAAGAGATGCTGAAGATTAAGAGGCTTCTGGATGTGTCAATGAGAGTGTGTCTAGGAATGATTGGCACGTGGGATAAAGAACTACAGTAGGGACCCTCCCTAAGTGTGGGCAGTACTGACAATGGGGTGTTGGCTTGGCTGGAATAAAAAATTGGAAGAACAAGGAAGCAGCAGTAGATGCAAGCTTGATTCTTCTAGAAGGGACTCTTGATTGCTACCGCAATTGCCTGAGGATATCAGAATCTTGCTCCTTCACTCTTCCAAAGTGGACTCTGCCAGTGATCCTCCAGGGAGTTTCCAGAAGCCTTAAGTCTTGGACTAGGATAGCACTGTGTATCCCTCTTGTTATGAGGCTGTTGAACTGCACATCCACTGGGCTATTGGTTCCTCCAGCTCTCCAACCTGCTGAAGGCCATTGTGAAATATCCAGCTTCTGGTCGTGTAAGCCTACCTAATAAATCCTCTTTTTATAATCATACCTCCTGTTGATTCTGTTCCCGTAGAGACTCTGACTAATACAAATATTTTGCAAATACTAGTGGAAGTAGAAAGCATATGATAGTGTGTAGAGAAGGAAGCCATAAGTTCTGAACAGGGAATCAAGACTTACCTCTCCTCTTAGCCATGAGTAGGGTACTGGGATTGTAAAAGCAACATTTAGCTCTCAGGAGCATTGTTGACAGGAAAGAAAAGGTCTTATACTTCCTTTCCTTTCCTGATTCTAAAATGGTGGGCAAAATGTTTGTTTCTATTGGTTTGAAGTAGGCTAACCATTGCCAAAGAACAAATAAAGGAAATTATATAGGCATGTTCTCCTAAAATGCCACTTCCTTTGTGAAGCTGTCTTGATTCTTTGCTGAACTTCACTTTCTTTTTTATTATAGTTTTATGTTTTACATTTAAATTCATTATTTGTTTTTTTTTTAATTTCAATTTTTTCTTTAATAGAAGTGAGTTGTGTACATGGAGGTTAAAATACTTCATAGACAAGGGAAAAAACTGCACTAGAACCAACTTATTCATTATCATCATCATCTTCCTTTTCCTCCTCATCCTCATCTTCTTCCTCATCTTTCTCCTCTTCCTTCTTTTTCTTGCTTTTTTCATCCTTGACAACCCCCCCCCCCCCTTTTTTTCTGCATCAGGTTTTCCTTTAGCTCGACAGGCAGCAATATTCTTTTTGTATTTTTCCTTCGGCTTAGCAGCTTTCTTTTCATAAGGCTGCTTAGCATCTGCAGCAATGTTATTCTACCTCTCTCCCAGTTTCTTTGCAACATCACCAATAGATAGGTCAGGATTTTCTCCTTTGATTTTTGGGTGATACTCAGAACAGAACAAGAAGAAAGCCGATGGAGGCCTCTTGGGTGCATTGGGATCCTTGAACTTTGTTTTTGTTTCCCCTTTAGGAGGGATATAAGTTTTCATTTCTCTTTCAAAATGGGCCTTGTCTGCCTTTGCCATGTCTTCAAATTTCCCCCCTTTCTCTTTAGCAGACATGGTCTTCCACCTCTCTGAGTACTTCTTAGAAAGCTCTAAGAAGTTGACTGAAGCATTTGGGTGCTGCTTCTTATGCTCCTCCCAGGAAGTTTGCACAAAGAATGCATATGATGACATTTTGCCTCTCAGCTTGTTAGTGTCTCCTTTGCCCAGGTTTAATTATTCTTCAAAGTTGCCCAGTGCCTGTGGAGCTCTCACTTGCTGTCTCTATGGAACTCAATGTACTGCAATGGCTGTAAGAGTGAGAGCCACACACTATCTCGGCTCTGTAACATTCCCATGATCCATTTTATGTTAATATTTGTACATGGTGTGAGTTTTAGCATGAGGTTCTTTTTTTTCTCCTTTCCTTCCTCTGTTCCTTTCTTTTTCTCTCCTTCTGCCTGGGACATCCTCTTGTTCTTACATTATTGAAAAGACT